CGACTTGTTTTTGCTCGTGGCAGGAGCACACGAGCAGCGCTCGGGAGCCGGCGAGACGCTGTTCGGACTGCAGGAGCGCTTGCATGTGGCGCCCTCAGCTGGATTCCTCCAGCCAGTCTGCAACAGAAGCGCATGTCAGGTTCTTTCAGAACTTGCCAGCAGATCGCTTGCTAGCGCACAGCTTCCTCAGGACAGCTTCCTTCGGAGCATGAAGTGGGCAAAACATCTTTCTGCTCCTTGACCCCGGAGGCCTCAGTTGAAGAGCTTGAGATCGATCTCGTTCAAGTCACGGGCCTCCAGCCAAGATGGGAAAAGCCTGGAAAGACATCGGCTCTTTACGTCAAAGCTGTGAGGTCGAGCTCGTCGCTTGTGGAAGGCTGTGGAATCCTCCGAGGCTGCGGTGCGGAACCTCGAGGCCTCGGCTGCTGCTGGCAGCTGCTTTTGGGATGAATGTGTGTGTTTGTGTCCTGAAAATGAAGCACACTAGCACAGGCTCAGCTGGAAAAGCAGGAGGCCCAAAGAGAAGGGATATGGATTCTCAGCCACGTCATCACTCCTCTGAGCTGCCATGCGTTTGCATCCGAGGTCAGCTTCCAGCTCGGGTCCCCCTGCAGAAATGCAGATCTCCTACTTTGAGTTGCAACGCTGGGTTTGGTTGAAACCTGTCTGGCATACGCTTTTTGGAAAGGTCGACCTTTACCTCCCAACACAGGCTGGACTGCCCGGATGACCAGGCGACGGGAGTCTACAGCTGACTCACTCAAGAGGCGCAGCTTGAGACGACAAATGACTGGAGCTGGCTCCAGGAAGAGCGTGCGCTGTTGGACAAAATTGTTGGCACCTCAGAAAGGGAAGCCCGCAATGTGTTTCAAACAGGGGAAGATGTTCAAGGCTCGGCTTGAGCATGGCCTTCGGGAAGACGAAGAAAAGGTTACTCTTCTAGAGCTATTCTTTGCTTTCGAAAAGAGCCTTCCGTCATAGCCCCACTCATGCAGGCTTCTGACGAGAGGAAAAAGATCACTAGGCTGGAATGGTCGCTGGGTCTTGTTGTGAGAACCATCACCGTAATCGGTGCAAGTGTCGACCGAAATTGCCAATGCAATCTTGTCATCCCAGTGCAGGGCACGAGCTCGAATTGCACGACTGCAGCAGGACGGTATAAATTCCCAATACAGTCTTATAACAGCATCATGCCGGCAGATAGACAAGTAGCAAGTTGCAACAGCAAGGAGTACCAGAACTATGTCTCTGAGGCCAGGGCTTTCATTGAGACATGTTTGCAGTAGAATTTTGACATGCCGGCTTCAGGGCTGGAAGGGTGAAGCATGAGTGCGGAATGCGAGCCTCTTTTGTATTGTACGAACACCAACCGATTCCATTGCCCTCTTGGCAAGCAAGCCTCCAGGCCTAAGGTGGCCCAGGATGACCCAGGCAAATCAGGGTTTGGTGCTGGGCTGGAAGCATCGCCAGGTGTCGGGAAACCGCAATGCCTTACAGCATTTCCAGGCAGAGGCGCGTGTTGTTTTCCGCAGCTTCGTTTAGGTCTGGTGTGAGGGGTCCACAATGATTAGCACATTCACATGTGACTGCATGCGCGAGGCTGCGCGCTGGCGCGCAACTCTCCAAAGACACCGCGAACACATACGAGAGAGGCAGCAGGCGGGATCGCTCTCCATAAAAGCCCTGCATGCAGTAGGACTGCTCAGCGTGCATAGATTGCAATCTCTTCATGAGGGGGGCAGCTATCCAGCGGTAAGCAGGCAGACAGCGAGATGCGAGTTCGACTCAATGCTCTGGCAGTCCAGCCCGTGCCTGCTGGCAAGGACTCAAGCCCCGCAGCTACCCTGAGAACATGCCGGTTCTTGAGCCGTTGTTTCAAAGGACGCAAGTACCGCCCTAGGGCTTGCCGAGCATGTGGGCGCGGCCCCTGTGGCTTTGATGCACCTTGTGAAGCCCCCTCCTGTTTTCAGCCAAGGCCACTGCTGGGCAGAGGCGAGAAGGGCAGGCCCTCAAACTCTCAAGCCTTTGCAAAGCAGTCTGAAGTCTGTAGGAAGACCTTCTGAGCTGAGCTGTTTGTTCAGCATACAGCGCACGCCCGCAGACAGTGCGCTGCATTGCTATATTGGACCCCACGGTCAGGGGCAGCTCGGCGCGCGGAACTGGAGAAGTTGAAGGTAGCCATGTCCGCGCAAGCTGTGCATTTCCGCATTTCCCTGCCAGCTGTGCCGTGAACTGAAGAAGCTTACAGATGCCAGTACCGATCAAACTCATGTTGCGGCTTCAAGGGATTCAGGCCAGAGGTGCCTTGAAAGATGGGGTTGCGTGCACGAACGCAGACGAGTTACGAAGGCAAAGAACTGCCCAGACCAGTTTTCTTTAGGAGCAAGGTGCGAAAAGCAGAAAGGATCAGAAAGGTTGAATAAACTGAAGGGTTTTCCAGAAGGTGCACGAATTACGAATCTGAGAGGTGATTCATTTCTTCCAAAAACGTCCGAAAAAGTGGAAAAGCCACATGTTTTGACAGGCGAAGCTTTTTTTGTTTGTACCGGTAGGATTCGTTGGAACATTCTCCAGCTGGGCTTTTCACGGCTGAGGGCGAGCTTAGTAAACGCTGACACTGCTTCAGGAGCGCCGCGGCACACTTCAAAGCCTCCTCTTCACGACAAAGGCGGTCCTACACAAACTCCTGAGCCCACTGGCAATCTCCGAGTCAGCCCGGCAGGCTGATCTGGAGCTGGAGACGCAGCGGCTGGCGAGAGCAGAGGAGGACGCATTTGCACATGTACAGTACTTGTGTAGCTGCAGTTGCAGGAGGTATGACATCTGGACAGGAGCTGCTCCGACTACAAGCAGATCGGAGAGCCAGAGAGCGCTTGGGCCTTAGCACGTAGCCATTCAAAATTACATGGTTCCTGGCGCCTTGTGTCACGAAGGCTTCGTCAAGGAAGAGTTTGCAGTGGCTCACGCCGCGAACTCCTTGCTAACAGAGGTGCGGGTCCAGCACAGACGCTAGAATTCGCAACACCAAGACATTTGGAACTCCACGATGTCTGACTTTATCAAGCTGAAATGTGTGACCTTCCAACATGCCTGCACCGTTCAACGTGCTGTGCAGCTCGCAGTTCATGTTGCAAAACCAATCAGACCTTAGTGCTTCTTTTAGATCTGGGCGTGGAGTCAGCTTCTCAGCAGAACTGGGCCTGAGCCTTCCAACGCTTTGGCCCTGGGAGCAGTCTAAGATAGTCTAGCGGTGGGTGCTGGAACAAGTTTTTAGCAGGCAACCACTTGTACCCTTAAACACGCAGAAAAGACACCACGCAGATTGATTAAATTCCCTTGGCGCCGCATTTCCCCAACCTGTCAAGGAGAAGGCGGTCTGGTTGCAGACAAGGCAAGACCCTGACCACATGAGTGCTGTTCCTTGAGAGCAGTGGCTACGGCACCGGATAATGATGATAACTTGTATTGTATCCTAGTCTGCTTGCATCAGGGAGTGCTGTGCCCCCAGGCCAAAGCTGCTGAATTTGCTTGAAGCCAGCCGTGACGCACCCAGCCAAACGACAGACTTGCCTCATCCAGCTGATCAGTGCAAAGGTTCTGGTGAATCAGAGACTCAAGCACAGACCAGGCCTGTGCCTGCTTTCCGCCGTTTTTCCTTGTTTTCGCAACTGCTCACCTTCCTGAATAGCATTTGGACAGCTGTTACAGGCGAAAATCTTCCTCGCCAGGTGCAGCCCATGTTAGCAGAAGTTGTTGAGTCAAGCTTTAAATCGTTTGCGCTGTTTTGTGAAACCACCGTCCTGCTCAATGATAAATAGCACATGAACTCTGTTCAACATAGAGCTTTTAGCCTGCTCCTCTTCTCCAAGGACCAGCGGCGTCCATGGGAAGTCAGGACCGCTCTGAGGCTACAAAACATGCTCTGTCTGCTGCAGATCCGTGGAAGGCGTTGCAAGCAGCTGAACGAGAGAGCAAGGCACCAGCTCTGCCAGCTTTGCAGTGCAGACGGTGGCAGACGGTCAGGGCACTCAGAGATGTTGTCAGGAGCTGCAGGCCACCATTGCCTCCCTGGAGAAGGACAAGGCCCGGAGTCAAGATTGCAGACAAGGCACGGCTCGCACGTCATCATTCGCGGTACTTGCAAGGCAATCCTGATTCAGGATCAGGCGGGATGTTCCCCACACATGTCTATGCTCTTTGGATCTGCTGACCTGTGTGGCAGGAAGAACTGATTCAACGCATCCGAGCTCGAGTCGTGGCCTGCCCTTTCATCAGCCCAGTTTGCCGTGCTAGAAGCTGTAGTGGGGCTTGGGTCAATTTATGAACAATCTGACAGAAGAGCATCACGACCAAATATACCAAGAGGGTTCGTTCTCAACACTGCCTGCCTTTTTTCTTGATTGGCATCCAGACGGAGTACCGATTGGAGGCAAGCTTTGGGAGGCCGTCGTCACTTCTGAGGTTCTGTCTTCTTCAGTGAGTTTGGTCACCATTGTAATGTCTGGAAGCTGACGGGACGCCTCGTTTACCACTGAAGGAGGCCACTCTGTGCCCTTGCAGGAAATCGGTAGGCAAGCTTCCAACAAGATTGCAAACGACAGCAGTCACACCAACTGCATGGACTGGATCGCTTCGCGCTGCTCTGTTCCTGAGGCACCTCTTCAGCAGCGTGCGCTGTCGCAGCAGTTCTGAGATGGTAGTGCTCGAGATAGAGATTCGGCTCAGCCTTGTGTGAAGCAGACATGATACACCCTTAGCGGTGACTCAGAAAAGGCTTAGCCGACTGTACTTTAGCATCTCTTTAGTCGGCATGGCGTATGCCGCTGTTTCACACAGCCCTGCAAAGCACAAAGGCTCTCAGAAGGTTTGCCCGGGGCCCCCAGCCAGGCCTGAGGCAGCTTCTGCAACAGGTGACCGTCCTGCTTCAAAACAGACCTGTTTCTGTGAGTCTATTCTCCCTTCTACGTCGTATTCACGTCCTTGGGATCTTTCAATGTCAGGGACAGCAGAATCTGGAGTTGGCCAGCCGGCTGCACGTCTATGTGCAAAGCAGCTCCATTGAAGGTATGGATGATGAGGCCATGTTGAGAGATGCAAAGGAGTGTTGAAGCGGGAACACGCGAGCTGTTGGTCAGCCTGATGACCTGTCAGGGCACTGCCTTATCCTTGAACCGAGTGCAGGCGGGCTTGGCATCCAGCTGTGCTGAACTAGATCTTGCGTTTTGTCAAGCACAACACGATACCCAACGGAATGCAACATATCTGCACATGCGGCTTGAACAGGCTCTGTGAAGATCGGCTTATGAAAACTCGTGACACATCGGTTCAAGACTCTGTAGCCGGCCATCCCATCCAGGCAGCCGGACATGTCGACCATCTCGCCCTATCAGGCCCAAGGCAAGTGGACACACAGTTCTGGTGGGGAGATCAGCATCAACGTCGATGGAACGGGACAGTCGGTTGTTATCAACCACCCGACCGTGGGAAAACAAACAATTGAAGTCCGAAAATTTTGCCAAGGAGATGGCCTCGACTACTTTGGCTTCAAGGGCAAGCTGGATGGCAACAAAATAACCTGGAACAATGGAGTCGTATGGACCAAGCAAGCATAGGCTTGGTGTTGGCGCGTGAGTCAAGGCACTCGCTGTGATGCTTCGGGGACTGGCCGAGATCTTTCCGGGACCAGCGGTGGAGATACTCCAAGTATCCCCTGTAGTAAACACGATGTTGCTCCAGGCACATCCAAAGACTGTAACCTGTGTTCCAGGTAGCCTTCAAGGCAGAAAAGGCCGTGTGACTGCCTGCACTTCGGAAGATCTTGTAAAGAGACGAGTATGTACCAAAATCAGGGTGTCAATAATCTACCACGCGCAGTAGTGGCAGCCATAGCAAAGCTGACGGCCGCAGCAACAGCGGCAGCAATGATGGAACTTGCACAAGACAGTCTAGAATATGGGTTGTATTATTGGGGTTATATAGTTATATAGAGATAATGGAAAAGAAAATGGAAACTACTATTTAGGGTTTAGGTTTGGCACATGAGAAGCTGGCCTCCCCACTTCTGGATCTCATGGAAGATAATTTCCCCACTGCTTTGAGGTGATGATCGCAGCCGCGGCTCGGCAGCTCGTGGCTGGCAATAAATGGATAACCAAAGAGGCCAGATGTAGCTTGCCTTACCAGCTCTGGAGTAGTCTGTTCTGCGAGACAACGCTGCCCAGTGGCAGCAAAGCTATTCACATCCAGACGTATCTGCTGAAGGTTAATGATTGTAGTTTTGCTTGGCATGACAAGTTCCGAGTTAGCAGGGGAACAAGTATGAGCACTGCTTGATGTGCAGATCTTCGACAGCCGGCTAGACCAGATTCGGGGTGAGTACCTGAAAGAGTTACGGCAGATCCAGGCTGTGGACATGGGCAGTCATCTGTTTCCAGGACTCCCTGTGAATAGTTCTGTCAAGATGAGGCAAGGCTTGAAGACCAATCCGGCTCCAAGGTGCATCTTCAGCTTTTGCTCAGAGCCGGCATCGCAGATGTTGCCTGCCAGCCTTGAGGCCTTGCAAGGCGTCACGCCGGTGGTTACAGTCTCCTCCAAGCTGCCCAAGATGCCGAACTGACAAGTTTGGGAGTAATGTGAGCTGCGTCGCTGTGTGTGATGCTGCGAAAGCTTTACGTGTGACTTTGCAGGATGTTGCAGCACATGCCCAATGAGGTGCACACTCGCACCATACCTGTTGCGGACTTCAGAGATTTTGTGAGTTCTTCCAGGCCTCTGCAGGCATGCATGCAGAGGCCGGTGGACTGGTAGATCGTGTGAGCGCTGAGCTGCAGCAGGTTTGCTATCTCGTCAGGCGCCAGATCGGCTGGGAACCGCTCCGGCTGGCCGGACTAGAGCAATTCCTGCAATTGCTACTCGCCTGATCAGCTGGACTAATTAGAAGTGAGAGTTGTTGGATGTATGGGTGGGTACAATGGGTACATGGAGAGTGGAGGCACTACCCCTCAGCGCGCGGAGCGGCGGCCTGCGCCCGGCCACTGTGGATAGCAGGCAACGATGCTGAGACAGGTAGAGCTCACAGATGGTAGCCCGACCACTTAAATCTAGAACGTGGTAATATGCAGGCCATCTTTGGCTCCTGTTCAGTTGCCAGCGCTTTGGCCTGTTGATGTGCTATGAAGCAGTTGTACGGCAAGCTTGGTGACCAAGCTGGTGCACGGCAGAGAAGGCTGCCCAAAGGAAAGTAGCCGGCGTTTTTTCTCGTGTGTGACGAGGCAAGTCGAACTGAAAATTAACGAATGCTGTCTCCTAAAGCGCAGGGGTCACATCGCGACTACCACAACTGATGCTATGCCAAGCAACTCCAGCGAGTGCCAGTGGATAGACACACCTTATAAATCTCTTCATCTCCACGCACCTCGACTTAGCCGGACTTTCTGGAAACAGGTATGCTTTCTGGTGTGGCCTCACACTGAATTTTTGCGACACGGTGGCTGCTGAAAAGTGTCAATGTTTCAGAACCCCTGGCACCTGTATGGCTAGCTGGGCAATGGAAATTTGATGGACGCATGCAGTTCGTGCAGTGTGAGCTTTGTTGAAGCATTGAAGTGCTCTAGCACACGCTCAAGAGTTGCCTGTGTCAGGCCCAGAAAAGGACGGGATCGATGATGGCCAGAAACAGTTAAACGCAGAGTTGTGAGCGCATGGCAAAGCCAGCAGCGCTCATCGTGTTTGAGGACATGCCTGCAATCGGCTTGTAAGGGTAGCCTTAGCTGGTCGCGGGCAGAAAGACGTCTTCATGTACATAGGACAGCTGCATTTCACATGGCATTAGCAAATTTTGTGGGCTGTCTCGAGAAGGGCATGCGTGATAATGTGCGTGTTTGGGCAAGCTACTGCCAGATGTGAAGCACGCCAGCTGCGCAGCCAGTTTGGTGGAGTTGCGCTCAGGTTCAGACTGGTTGTGACAGCTGCAGACGCGTCAGATGTCCCGCTACCGTTCATGTTTTCGCTCCCGCGTATCTCTGTGACGGCGCAAAAATGCAAAGCTGGTGAAGAGCTGTTGGCCCCACTGTTAGCGTGGGTGGGACGGCTTGGGTTCGTTTGCTATTCGACATCGTGCCCTGAAGGCTCACAGCAGTGGGGAGCTGGGGGCACGCTAAAAGCCAGGGCAGCTACAAAAGCTGCGCGGGTTCCAGACCGGGCAGTGCGGATAGGCCCTCTCAGGGCTGCTACAAGCTTCAAAACTTGACTGTATCTTTGGAACCATTGCAGGCCTGACACCGCGAGCAAAGTGAGCGAAGCTGCCCTCTGATGGGTGCCTTGGCTCTCCCGTTTTGCCAAACGCTCCCATTACGCATTATGCAAAGACACGCAAAGCTCATGCCAGGATGCTGCGGGAGCACCGCGGCGAATCCTGCGCCGCAAGAGCTCGACTCTCAGAGAGCTTGAAACCTCACCAGCAAGCAGTTCCACACCGACCGAATGCTTGCGTTCCCTATAGAAGTGACTGCTCAGGCACTTCTTCACGCAGTATAAGCTGGGGAAAAAACTGGGAGAAGGCTTGGTTCAGCAATGATGGCAACCTGTGCCTTCGCCTGCAAAAGCCAGGTGCCTTCGGACAGGTCCGTGTGGTCGTTGAAAGGTCCACTCAGAAGGAGTCTTTTTGCTGGCGTCGCAGGCACTTGCTGCGTCTCACTTGCGTGTGAGGAGCTTGCCGTCAAGATCGTGGACGTTCGCGAACGAGACGAACACGGTGCATGTGCTGCTCTTGGGGACGACTGTTTGTTTGCGCAGCCGCGCATTAACACTCGCAGTGGAAGGGTTGGGAACTTGCAAGGTAGTGGCGCCGTTAGCAAGAGTCGCGACCGCGTGACTCGAACGGAGGTGGATCTTTGGACGAAGGACTGATCTCGAGCATGTCCCAGCCGCCCGACGTTGCTGAATGAAAATGCCAGGCAAGCAGCAGCGACTGCGAGTACATTGCCTGAAGCTCAGACGTATGTAGAGATGTAGAGCCATTGGAAGATGAATGAAATGGCAGCCCGATTTAGAGGTCAAGCTTCACAAAAGCTTCGCAGAGCTCAGCCCTCAACAGCTTTATTGGTCTTCGGAAAAACAATCATGCTCCCTTCAGCCACCCAATGCCTGTCAAGGAAGTCTTTGTATTATATGGTCTGTGAGAAATGCTCCGCACTCAGCTCTCGGAAGCAACGACATGCTTGACCACATGGAAAGTGAGGAAGCAAGGCAGTGTGCTTACAGGTCAGTGCTCCTTCATGGACAGACTCGTCTGGAGCTTGGCTGCCGACTTCTGCCGCAAGAGGCGCCAGGATTTGAACATGGCATGGCAGGTTGAGGCAGAGTCGATGTCTGAAGCCGACCTGGCAAAGATCTTTCGACACATGCTCCTGGGGGTCTCCCACACACACGCGGATGTCTCAGTGCAGAGAGCCTCCGCCTACGCCCTTTGACAGGGATTGCCATGCTTTCCTGTGACTGCTGCTTTGGAAAACATTTTCCTCACGGGCTCCGGCAGTTGGAAACGTTGGGGCTGCTTGGGAGTGTTCTTGATCTGGATGCAGGATGGTCCTGTAAGCCTCACAGCCTCCGCACACTTGCACCCACGCGAAACATTCCTCGTAATCGACAGCCTCTTGTGAGGTCTGGGCTGATAGTTGATATGTGCGCTAAGGGAGTTGGCATAGTTCACAGAGACATAAAGTGCGGAACCCAGATAGCTGACGCAAGTTGAAGTAAAACTTTGCAGGGAGTTGTCCTGTACTTGGGGCTGATCGCGCCGATCCAAGGCCTGACAACTTCCTTTGGGGTGGTCCAGACAATAGCGTGCTTAAGCTTTGCGACTATGGCCCGGGGCTAAGGGCGCTGACTGGTGAACCCAATTATCCCAACTCAACCTCGTGCACAGCACGCATGAAAGGTCTGGCTGTCATGATGCCCAAGACTGGCAAGCTTAGTGGAGTTTTTGGCCGGGGCCCTGTTTCTCCCCTCAGCATTGTCGCCCTCAGTTCAGCGGTGTGAGGCAGCGTAAGACATCACATTGCGAGCTGCTGTGGGATAGCATTTTGAGGGAGGACAGTCTTTTGTGGTTGGTTGAAATGCTGCTGATAGGAGCGCCGGCCTGATTTATCTTGGGAAGATTAACGTCGAAAATTCTCAAGATCAGGCGAGTGGCTGCGGTTGGTTCCTGGCCGGTTCGGCTATCATGCTTCGGGCTTCAAGATGCCCACGCGGGCCACACGACGAGAAACATCAGAGAAGGAATTGAGCACCTGTAAAGCGACGAGAACAATGATCCAGAGTAGGAAAAGAAGCAATTGCTGGTGGGACCTGGGAGGGGAAGGAGAAGGAGAGGTGTGAGGCGGGGACGAAGGCTAGGGTCTTTCAACGCTTTGTTCCTGCAAGCCACCGAGAAGACTGCTATTTTCATGAGACGTGCCGACTGGACTGTTGGCTCCAAGTCCCTGCAAGAGTGTCAGCTCACTGAGTGCTTTGTCGAGCTGTCACTGTAAAGTGAAGTGTGCCTTGCATGGAGACCGTGAGAAATTTGCATTTTTTTACGGTAGCTGAGCACCTGGGATCTGTTTCGGTCGACACATGCGCTTGGCTGGGTTCCGATGCGGAACGGAAAGGCAAAAGTGGCAAGATCAAGCCGCTTGTTCCCCACGTTTGCCATACTGGAGAACGGGAGATACGAAGATTGAAGTTATGTGTACTGATCCGCTTAGAGATGTGAAGAATAGTTTCCATTTTCTTTTCCATTATCCCAATATAACCCCTATATTATACCCCTATCTAATCCCTATAATCCCTGTAGTTTCCATTTTCTTTTCCATTATCTCCCTAGAATCCTAATATAGTCACTATAGTCCTCAGTTAGGCTTTAACCATCCGCGGGAGAGTTTTGACCAGGGCTTCGATTTCTGGCGCAGACTGCATAGGCAGTCCATTGCCGAAGAGACCGCAAGGGCTGAATCTTCTGACGGATTCTTGACTTCAGGCGGAGGCCTCATCCCTTTGAGAAGCAATTCGTGCATCCATCCAAGATGAATTGCTCATTTCGGTGTTTGTTCGCAAGATAAGTGGGACATTGGAACAACATATGCGATTGAACCTTACACACATCCATACATCTGTTACAAGGGCCCTGTAATTGTGTGCACTACGGGGTACGTGTTGGAAAGGTTCTTTCGAGCACAGGGTAGGACCTCGGAGCTAGGGTAGTGCAGGTGGGCCGGAAATACATCAACGTGTTCAACAATTTTGTGAGAACTTCAACTGTACTTTTGCGAGCAAACGTCTTGACACCGGCGGTCCAATGCCAACAGACATTCTGCGGCCCCCCGGACACTTTAATCCAGAGTATCTTAAAGCGAAATCTGCAACGCCAGTGACAGACGAGAATCAAGAAGACCAGAACAAATGTAATGACTGGAGCAGAGACTAGACCTTAAAACCCCAAATCTTTAGTCCTTAAGGAAGCCAAGCTCGAAACGTCCTCCTTCAAACGCCCCAAACCCAAACACACGAATTACCAGAAAGCCCAAAGCCGGCAATCATAAGCCCCAAACCTAAGTGACCAAAGCCTAAAAACAAAAAACTCTCAAAGCCCTAACCCTGTACAGATTTCTAAGCCCGAAAACACCAACAACACGCGAAACAAAAAACTCATAACCATAATTCAACCTCTACTTCCTAAGCCCTAATAGCCCCAAAGTCTAGGCAGGACCCCTAAGCCCTAATTTTTCCAAACCCTAAATCCACAAAACACAAGCCCCCTGAAACCATAAACAAAAAAATGCCACTGAAATCCACAAGCGAAGACCCTCAACCCAGAAACCGTAGAGTCCAGGATCCCCGAGTCTTAATAACCCTGAACCCACAAAGAGGCATCCCCCCAACTAAAAAGCCTAAACCCTACACACCCTATACCCATTAAAGCTTTAAAACCCAAAACTCGAAACACCTAAACCCTACACCATAAAACCACCAAGGCGTAAAGCACACTAAGACGTAAAAATGCCCTCAGCCTCAAGAATCCGGCAACCCAAGATGCTTAAAATCACAGAGCAACTGCCTACCAATCCGTGAGCCCTCAAAGTCTCAAAACCTTGAACATCCAAAACAGCTGAATCCACAAGCGACTGGATGGCTTCAACTGTCATGAGTCATAAGAGTAATCGCAGGTAATACGCCAGATATTTGGGAAAAGGCTTTGTAATGGAAAGTGATATGACGCGCCTCCCAAGCAACTCGCAATTTAATGTGGCATGTAGGAGGAATGCAATCAGGATTGATGTGAAATTCAGTCGCAAGTCATTCTGTTTCTGTTGTCGCAGGTGACGAATTTGTATAGTTGCAAGCGACAGAATTTCGTCGTCGCAAGTGATGGGTTGGGCCATTTTTCTGACCTTTCTTGAGCACAGATGCAGTCTGCAGTGGCTCCATCATCGTCAGTGGTGGCCGTTCCACTCACACAGATCATCAGACACACTGTGTCTTGGCCCTAAAATGTCCCAAAACTATCCAACAGCAGGCTCCACAAAAAAGAAAGCCCGAAAATTGCATCAGATTGGCAGCATTACATACCACCCAAACAGTGCTACTCGTACCAACAATGACATGTTGACAGTCGAAAAAGCATTCGGTGATCCTGTGCTGCTGAAACACTGCGCTCGGCTGTCAAGCGCCGGCCTGAAGTTACGAACGCTACTGGAGCCACTGGTGGCTGTTTTCGTGGCTCAGTGAAACTGTCGATTGAGTGAGCCTAGACGTCCCGCACTGTAACATCTGCGTTTCTGATATGACAGATGCACGTGTCAAGTTTCTCGTGGATCACGTTGTCATTGAGCCTGTCGTGTTTTTTTTTTTTGTAGCTGGCAGCTCTGTTTGAAATTGCACTGAAGTGCCATGATCATGAGACTCTGTTAGAGAATAAATACATGGTTCTGCAATCCATTGAGCGCCGGCATTGTGAAACATGTCAATTGGGAGATTTCTGCGTCAACTCACTGAGTGGTTTGTAGAACATTGATCGTGAAGTAGGGGGATTCAAATCCTGATTCCGAGAACTCTGCAACTGTCCGTTGAGGTTTTCATATGTAGGACGTTGCCGGCGGAGAAGGGGGGAACGTGAGGGAGAGGGGAGGGGAAGGGGCAGGGAAGGGGAAGGGAAGGGGAAGGAGTCGTGGAGAGAAGAGGGGAAGGGAGGGGGAAGAGGAGGGGAGCAATCGAGAGTCATGACCTGCTTTGCCATAGTCGCATCTGATTTTGGTGCCGGGTTCCATGCATGTCTTCACATCGACAAGGTACCGCCCCATACATGGCTCCAGAAATGCTGCGGAATGAAGGGTACGACTTTCTGGCAGATGTCTGGTCTATAGGTGTTGCTGCCATGTTTGGAGCAATATTGGCATGCAAGATCTTCTGGATCAACCTGTCGGCTTTGGATGGGTCTTGCAGGCTCCGTAGCCTACCTGCTGGTCTATGGCAGCTTTCCGTACTCGCCTTCCGAGGCGGCCTTCGATTGGAATGTGAAAAACTGCTTATCAGGATAATGCAGGCTGGGCCTAGCGCTCGGCAAGGATATGAATGCGTCTGAAAACCCTAAAGGATGTGGTCTCCGCTGGTTCCGTCAATGTAGACCCCCTTACACTACAATCCTTATTGAAGGTACTCCTAATTCCGGGAAACCCGAAATGCTTCCAGCATCAGGCTAGTGCGCCAGCCATGAAGAAAGCAATCATCGAGGCTCGTTACTGCCCTATGGCCGGTGTTGGGCACAATTACTTTTGTAGGGATATTGTACATGATTCCGAAAGCACAGGATCATCCAGCACTCCATTTTCCATGTCTCAGTGCTAATCTCAGCTTCCCTGTCCGATGTTTGCGCACCTCACCTTAGCTAGCTATGATTCTCGATGGTCTGTGGGGTCCGTGTTGAATCCATTCTGTAGCTCCAGGTGATGCTCAGGGCGTAGTCGCGGCCCGAACTTTGCAGTTTGCCAGTTTCCCTTCTTCCTGCGCTTGTCTTGAGGTGTCCGGATCGCTGGTGGGAGCATTGGATTTCACGAAGGCACCGCCTGCTTCACCGCAAATATCATCGTATTGACTGCTGATTTGTGGGTTGGATACCAGATATGTAGGTCTGAAACTTGGGCTCCCGCAAGGGCATAAATGAAAATGCGAATGAACACGAAGCTGCTGCAATAGAGAGAGTAGCATGTCGTGTTTCAGAGGCCCCCTAATCTTTGTGGGTGGAGGGATCTTGCACCACCCTTACCTGTTACCACAAGGAGCTACAGCATCTTGCGGACATCACGCAGTGCAAGATTTTCTCCATCCACTGTATCTTTATCTCTACCCACACCTTCATCCAAGCGTCAGATGCTGCTGAAGCGCTCGGCCAAGCAGCGACCTACCGCTGCAGAGGCGCTACCTGCCCTACGCTTCATCAGACATGGAGATGAACAGTGATACACTGTCGACTTCAGGATGGCCATACTGTGGTGAGGGCTTTCTTATCAGAGGGATGATGCAGCGAAAGGCTTCAGTGTTTGGGATGTGGTATGTAGGGTGAGTTTGCTAGTGAGCCTGCCACTGCGGCCAGTGACTCGGCAGAAATTCTCAGGCCGCAAATTGTGATACCGTTTTCAAGAAAAACAGGGATCGTGCTAGTTTCAGTGGCAATTTCAGCAATATTGCTCGAATGGATTTTGCTGAGAACTCGCTGGGACAGGCGCTGAGGCACGAATTTGTGGCGGAGAAGGTTGTGAAGATCCCCGATGCCAATGAGTTTGATCCATTGTTGCGTCCTGTCCCTGGGATTTTTCTCTCCTTGATGTGACCAGACCCTTCATGTTCAGACCCTGTCAAGAATGATAGCTGATGGACTGCTCCAGGTAAGAACGCGCACAAAGCTAGATCGCTCACGCAGCAGATGCGTCAAAAGCGCGATTCCACGGTTCCTGCGGCATGTTTTTAGCTTGTGCACCAAATGCACCTGTGAAAATATATGTGTTCATGATCAGATTGCCAGGTACAGCATGGCATCGACGATCTGCTGAAGAAGTTGATCGTGAAGAACGGAGGCGGGGGGAGCGGCCAGAGCTTAGTGCCCGGGCTGCCTGCCACTCCCTGCAGCTGCCTGCAGCTGCCTGCATCCTGCAGCATCCTGCAGCCTTACAGCTTTGCTGCTGGCGACCGGTTTGAGGAGACATCAGCAGTTCCAACATCTTCTTCTCTGAGGGTGATGAGAAGCTTGATCAGGAAGAGGAGGCCTGGGGGCCCGGTGCAGAAGGGCCAATTTACCCATTGCCTCTGATCATGCTACTGCAGCTTGAGGAGCCACGGAGCATGGAGCCGCGAATGAAGCGGCGAAGCTCCAGACGTCTCACACTCACCAAATCTCAGCAAATCATTGAGGCCCCATGAATGGCAGTACTTTCCGAGGCGATGTCAAGCACTCTACGCACTCTGGAGTCATAGACCAGTTCGGCAGCTTGAAATTCGACATGAGTGGGTGTCTCAGAACCTTGCTGCGGAAACTATTTCTATTGCTATCAATGTTACTACTACTAGTAATATTATCAGAATAATGATTATTATCGCTATTATCATCAGCGCATGTCATGGCAGCAGAAAGCAAAAGCCAAAAGCCCCAGGTCCCAACAGCGCGGTAGACTCGCGGGCCTCGGGCAAGAGTGCCCCAGGGGATGTCCGGATCCCGGAGCCTTCATTGGACTTTTCTACCTTGCACTAGGGTATATGGGGATGTATACTACTATGATGGTTTATAGAGGGGTTATACAGGGGTATATGGGGTTCTATAGGGATTATATAGGGGATAATGGGAAAGAGAATGGGGACTACTCTAGTATTTTGGACTATATAGGGGTTATATTGGGATATTGGAGAATCAACTGGACAAGAAGATGGAACATGAAATGGAAGCTGGGGTAATCTAGGGATTTATAGGGGTTCTGTTCACAGTTGACTTGACAATTGGACCATACGTTCGACTTGTTGGTCGTCAGTGGATTCACGGACTTCACTGGTTGATGGTGTTCATGTCGCAGAGCAGCACGCGCTGTTGTGGCAGCCAGCCTTCTCTGTCATGTGCGCAAGGTTCCGGGACTGTCGAACAGGTGTTAACAAATCAGGCGGGTGACTTGGGCAAGACTTCATCACGAGTTGCGATTGAAACCTGATGCCTGACCTAGTTCTACATGAAGTCCCGTAAGGCTTACTGCGACTCCGGGTCCCATGTCAAAGGACATGCGTGAGCTGCGTCGCTTTTGTCGCCTGGCTTTTCATTTTTGTTTGGTGCCGCAGTGGAGCTCTTGGACAGCACCTAATCACCGGCGTAAAAAAGACATGCACATGTAGGCCATATTTTGAAGTGAGAAAGTGCTCCATGCCTGAAGCAATACCGAAGCTTCGCCCCAAAGCTCAAGCCTGCGTCCTCTGTCCATTGATACTGAATTTTCCCCAGAAGTCAGATGCGGAATCTATCGTTCCCACGTATGTGAGGCAGGCGTGACCGCGTCCAGGTAGAGACAGTAAATGCTCGATTCTGCCTTTTTTGCGGCTGCATACCTCCCAAGGGTATGCTGGTCATGGGGCATCTTACCCCTCTGCTGGCAGTATTAAGACTGCCCAACAGAAAGGCCGCCTGCGAAACGACATAATTTAGGTCGAGTCATTGATCGGCTTGCACAGTGGGCCTGGTGCACACAAACGTGGGCACGCTGCAATCCTGTGCGATCTCCCAGGATGTGAAATATCCGGATGGATTCTGCATCAGGTGAGCGCACACACTTTCAACAAAAGAATGCGCGAACCCAAAGGCAGTTGCTGGATGATGATATGCAAGAAGGCACAAGAATCATTGTTCAGAAATAAACATTGTGTAGGTGTCCTCAACAACCGCCTCTTCAAATTCTTTCAACAGTCCCGCTAGCCAGTGTAGCTGGGAGACTTTCCAAGTTTCTCCTCTCATGCTACGCTGCCTGGTGGCGGTGGTGGTGATTCGAACTGCGGTCTTCTGACAAAGATGTTTGCGCACTCTAGGGCACATATGTGGCAAGTTGTAAATTCATCGAGCATCGTATCGCGGCATGCGGTGATGTCAGCTGTTCAAAACCCCGCCCGCCGTCCTGCTCGTGCAGGCATGGTGGCAGTTTCTTGTTGAAATGGGTTTAGATAGGAAAAGGCTTCTGTTTTCTTGCCTGGAAGCCTTTTTGCAACTCACTTTGTGCTTGGTGAAGGCCAGGCGATGGAGCCCACAGAGGCAGGGAAAGCAAGAGCTGTGAAGCTTCATCAATGTGACGAGAAGTGACCGCATCTCAGGCTCGGACACCAAGATGGCAGGGCTTCCAGCGAAGGCGAGTTACCTGTGTGGAGCTGTTTTGTCAAGCTACCAGTTAAGATTTTGTCAAGTCGCACGCCTCTTTCCTCGGCAGATCAGGACTACCGGTAGCATTCCTTCCAAAGACTTTGTCTGCTCATATTCTTGGCTGCAAAATCATCGCAGAGACCCCGGTAGTTCTTTTACGCCTTCAGCTTGAACCTGCAGCGCCTCAAAGTTTGATTGCCCAAACAACGCCTAATATGCTTGCACTTCTGGGTTCCTTCATGACATCAGCTACTGTCAATGTTAGGCATGTTAAGGAACCCTGGCGCTGGAGACAGGGGTCCCTCTTGCAGTTTGGTAAAGTCCCTAATATGGTACCTGATAAGGAACCCACGTTCATTAAGTATCTGGGTTATATTCACTGTAGCTCACATGAGGAGTCAAGGACTTAGATGCCTGCTCGAACCGCATGTCGTGGTCAGGGGTCAGGGCCGCCCTTGGATCGTGCTCCGACTGAAGTTCCGCACGTGCCTGTCTTCCCTGATTGGAGAGTTCCCACAACTTGAGTTCCACATCACTCTCCGCCACGGTACCGTATGTGTACACGCTGCGATGTGCAGACCCATCTTTGCTTTTGGGGACTAGGAGTGTCTCTGAGACACGTTTTGGGAGCTATCTGAGAGGCCGACCCCTCTGCGCTTTGGCCTGTATGCGTCCGTCCGGATGGAATTTGGTTTGCCCTGTGGCTCTACTAACGGTGGACCCAATATGAGGCGCTGGAACGAGAAGCAAACAAGGGTCGTGCTCTTCTGTCTGTTGTCTTTGCGTTGTCTCCACCCGGCTCGCATGACATTCGTTTAGCCTTAGGAATGTAAAGATTGAGAGGATGATGCCTTCCAAACCTCTTAAAGTTTGGATGAGCCTGATGAGTTGTCCCGCTTAGTATCATGTGCATTTGCAAGGCGGAAGGAATACAGAGGAAGTGGTCGATGGGCCAGAAGCTCGGGTTGGGTGCATTTGCACTCTGACGTTTCCGCACCTGCCTCATGGCGTCGCAGTGAAGATAGTGGCGCTCAGATCATAGCCGTTGGCGGCTACGTTTGGATCCGTTCGACAACAAGCTCCGAAGGTTTTAGCGCTGTGCACTCCTTGGCTGCTGAGCTTTCATGACCTTTTCTTGCAGCGAGTGGAGACTCAAGGTCACTGCTCGCAGTGGGTACAGGAGTCCAAGCAAGAGGTACGGCCGCATGTTTCCTGAACCGACCGGTTGCTGAGATTTTCTGAGCCTGGGGGATCCACCACTGATCCACCCGCCAGACGGACTCCTCTTGCCGGTGGTTCGACGATTCAAGGCACGCAAATTGATGAACTGCTTGTTGAGACTCGCATGCATTATATGCATTGCAGAAGGTCCGATAGCTGCCGGTGTTGCCCCAGAAAAGTCAGGAGAGATTTCGAGCGAGGGGGCTACACTTTCTGCACACTGCCCTGCTAGGATTGGGCCTACATTTTCTGCACCCACCGCCCTGCTAGGATTTTGGAGTCGGACCGGGTTGGTCGCTCTTGCCGTCTTTGGCCTCTTTGAAGGGCACGCCTACGTGCATGTTGGACCCTTTCATAGGCTGGGGATCAGTGTTCCGTGCCTGCAGGGGTGATGTGGCGCAAGGGTCCAGCAAGAGGAGGCTTGGCGGGTGCTTTTGGTTGACCTAGAATTCGATGTCAAGTCGTTAGGAGTTTCAAGTTCCTTGTTTGCAGGCATTCCGGCAAGAAGGGTAAGGCCAAAAAGGCGGGGCCAGCAGAAGACACAGATGTAGTCAAGGCTGGTCTTTAAGGTCTGTTCCTGCCAGCTTAAGCTTCCGTGCTGTGCTTGTGTCCGCGCTTGTTCCGGTGCGTCTTGAGTTTTCGATTGCTCCTGCCAGTTCAACGTCGCGGACATGTCAGTTTCGCTCACCCTGATGTATAAGTAGCAAGCGTAATTCTTCTTAACATGTAGCCGAAACACTCGTGCAGCCAGTTGACTGATTTTCCTGACTGTTGTGTATCCACGCTTACTGATGACAGGTCTTTATTGCCTCGCTCTTCCACACCTGTCAGAAGCCATAACGTCCTCCTGTTTCCCAAATACGGATGCGAGAGACAACAATTGCTTGGTGTTGATTCCATGTGCTGCTCATACTTTCGGCCCCTTGATTTCGCGAGCCCTGCAAAAGCAAGCAACCGTGATGTTTTGAGGCACTTGAGATGACACAGCAAGGATAGTCAATTTTAGCAGTACTCTCAAAACAATCTTACTGCTCCTGGAGGATGTAGTTGGACCATGGTACATATCCGTACATGGGTCCAGAAGGATTTTTGTCTGTTGCTATTGATTGTAGGGGTTCTGCGGGGTGGCAGGGTGGCAGGATAGGGGGGGGACAACACAATTTCCATGTCATGAATTCTGTCATGGGACCTGGCGACCTGTAAAGACTTAGATGCCGCGCATGCGTGCAAAGGGCCCTTCGAAAATGGCCAGTCTTGCCTGCGGTCAGAGCTTGAACTGCAGCTCTGGCAGGGGGTCTCTAACACAAGAGGTGTTGAACAAAAAGCTCCTGAAGCTCAAGTGCATGTGAAAAGAGAGCTTGAACCTCAGAAATTCTCGATTTTGTGCTTAATCCTAGCAGGAAACTCATAGAATCCGTCAATCCCCCGATGCGGAGCGCAGATGCTGTCCAACATCCACGACATGGATATGCTGTGAAACTAGCATTCTCTGAGTTCTCTTATAAAAGGCTCGATTCCTAAATGTGCTGAAGCACCGCGTACAGACATGCGCCGTGTACCTAGTTACACCTTGATTTGCTTGTCAGCCCTCTCTACACAGATACTGCGGTTGTGGGTTCTTACGCTAACAACTTCAGACTGCTCGACTCCCGTTCTGCAGCTGCAACCACCAGCTACTGGACGACATGTGAACGCAGGTGAAAGGACGTCAGACGGACCATGACGATTTGAAGCAGTGGCTGCTCCAGGCCCTGGTCGTCAACGTTGGAATGATAGATATGTTGACGGCTTGATGCTAAGGAGACCACGCATCATGAAGCTACATGGAGAAGGTGATTCCTTGTTCATGCAGCCGTGGTCTTTCGGACATAATTAGACAAGTTGGGAGATGGCAGGACGACATCCGAATGGTGGGAAAACCTCCTGAATGGACCATCTTCCCACGTAGAGCTCGTTAGTAGGCGAGCAGCTGGGTTCACAGCTGCATTCATGAGACTAACATTGCTCGCTGGGTGGCCAGGCAGAGAGGACCCTCGAGTGAGGAGGCCGTAAGCGGGAAAGCAGGAGACTACGAAGTTCGGACTTGCTGTGATGCCAGCCAGGTGCTAGCTTCCAAGTCCAGCGAAGAAGACGGACATCATGAAGAGGATGCGACATCAGGCTGACACGTTCGCTGGATGCATGAGCTTGCGGTGGGATCCATTTTGCATGCCAGGCATTCTCAACATCCTAGCTTCCGTCAAGACTTCTGTAGTCGCAGCTGTGCTTGGGACTGGAAGCGGCCGCACGTACCTCAGACTCCTCGAAGGCTGGCTCCTGTCCGCGTCACATGCTGCTCCCAGGCTCGGAGGAGGACTCTAAAGATCCTGATGAGGAGAACATGGAGAAGGAGGACGAGGAGGCCTGACGGCTCGCGGACTTCCTTGCTTTGGCTAATCAGTGGTTTGTATGATGAAATTATCAGGGTGATGACTGGTGGCAATCGGCCCAAGCAGCTTTGGGAATGGCCGTGCCTTTGCTGCATAAGTGTTCTGTGGCAGTTTCTGGGCCACACGAAGACGAAGAGTGCTTTTCAAGCAGGTGGGGAAACGCTAGATTGCATGCTTGCGAGCCTAGGTGGATGGCTCTGACAAAGCAGAGCCATCTGAAGAAGTGCCAGAACAAGTGGAGCAGGTGCCAGAAGCAGAGCCACTGAGGCTCAAAGCTGCATCGCAAAGGCGGCAGACTTGCTGAATCATGCTTGGCAGCTCAGCAAACGTGAGGCAAGAGGAAGCAGTCAATGTGGTAGTGGGGGAGCAACCCACAGAGGAGGTCATTGGTCCAAGATTCTCTTTGGCAAGTGCAGCTTTCCTTGTTGGCTCCACTGAGCGCAGGCCTTCGAAGTGCCAGAGGCAGCTGGATCTGAATTCTCTCTAAGTTATCCAATGGCGCAACTTAAGACCGGATGTGTTTCATGCCGTGCTGAGCACGGTCTCCCTTCCGCTCACAGGGTCATAGGACAGGTTGTTGGCGACGGGCATCAGGAAGACCGAGTTTCATTATCAAACCACAGTGGTGTAAAGCTTGTCTTGTGAGGTGGTGGACTCACACCAAGATGAGCCACAACCAGAGCCTGCGGCTTTTGGCTTCAGGGTTGTCGGATCACAGTCAAAGTAGCCTTCATGCACAACTCAAGGCCTGTTGCGGAGGTCGTTGCTTTGCCACCGCCAGAAGCGTTGGGCTCCTTGTCTTCTGACTGTGAGTTCGGGTATTCAGAGCACCAATCAGGCCTGGGATGGAGGATGCCAACCTCGTTGTCGCAGTGGACATTGACCCAAAGAAGCAGGTGGTTCAGCAGCTGGGCGCAGAGGCTCCCCAACGCCTTTTGTGATACCTGCCATGTTGATTTGGCATGCAGCTCAACGGCCAGGGCGCTGCAAACCTGATGGCCGGCTCGGACCGCCAGATCCTGGAGGCAGCGGGCACAGTTGGATCCCGCAGTGCGCAGCAGCGCGCA